AACCCGGGAATGCCTAACACCTTCTCCCGGGTTAACAGAATTCCTTATCTAAAATTTCTGGTTCGCAGACTTTAAAAAATAAAATTTTCCTCGATTTGGGATTTTAAAATAAACCGGTGACTTGGGATACCAAATAAACTATTCCAAGTGGCGACTCTAATAAATAAAATAATCTCATTTCGAATAATGTCACTTAAATTGGAAAAACTCCTTTCTTTCCTATCTTCCCGATAAAAAGGAGGTGTGACATTGGGCATCGGGGATTTTGAACACAGTCTCGCTAGAGGATCGAGGAAAGGTAGCAGGTGGAGGGGTTACAAAAACATGAGTGGTCAAAGGAGCGGGATGTAAGGTGGTTCTAGGGGTAGAGTATGAAAAGGTTGCGGCGAGATATCCTGGATTTGTGATAGTGGCGGAATGGTGACAAGGCTTTCAGTGTAGTTAGTGGGAACTGATGGTGGACGATGCCCACTAATCCAGGCTTGATATATTTCGGCCATCTGTCCTTTCAACCTCAAGACCTCTTCTTTCAACTTAGATTCTTATTCAACAATTCCCTTAGACGGATCAATAACCTTTGCGTCCAAGTCTTTGCTAGCCATGACTACCTTGCTTTTTGACCTTGTGTTGTATGGACGAGTTACTTAAAAACCATAAACCAACCACCCTTCTGCTCAATGAAGACAATAAAGGAACAAAATGGGGACATCTTATTAGCATTAGGGCATTTAACAGCTAAAAATATAACATTGCGTGCAATGTACCTAGCAACAATTAACGGTTCTAGAATGACTTTTAGGGTCACAAGGTCACTTGGCATCATCCCAATTTTGTTCATTTCAATCTTCTCTTTTCTTTCTTTTCTAGCACTTATTGGCTCATTTTCCTTCCTCTTTTTTTTTTTTTGATAATTATCACTCTTTTCTTTTCTCTCATTTTTCACATCCCATAATTTCACCTTTTTTGAAAAAAATGATTCGATCAAACCCTATTTAGGTTGCTTACGTATCATGTCGCCGCATAAATAAGATCTTTGCGTAGTTTGAGAAGATCGGGAATAAAGTAAACAAACTAACGTTCTCTTTTCTTAATGAGAAAAGAGAAATAAAAGAAGCAAATCCTTTTTTTTTTGAGTATTCTAGACTTAATGTTCTATAACATATTTTAAACTCAAGCTTAACGAGCATATATTTTTTCTCTTTTTTTCTTTTTTAAACAAACATTCTATGGAAAATAATTAAGGAAAAAACCCTAGAAGAGAAAAATCTTTTTTTGATTGTTTTTTTAGGAAGGAAATCTAAGGAATAAACCAAAGAAAATATTTTGAATTTTTATTCGATATCCCTGAAAAAGATTTCGAAACGAGAAATGAACAAGATAAAAAAAATATTTTTTAATTTCAGTTTTTGATTACCTAAGGAAGAAACTTTAAAGATAAACAACATATAAAGTATGTTTTTTTCTTATTCTATGTACAATATCCTAAAGTTCTAGTGAAAATAAAACAAAATATTTTTTTAATTTATTTTTTCATTAATTTCCCAAAGAAGAACCTCAAAAGAAAATCTTTTTGGATTTTTGAAATTAATATCTTAAAAGAAAACTTTTAAACCGGTGCTAAAAGAAAATTCTCTTTTTTTTGTATTTTTAGTCTTAATGTACTAAAAGAAAATATAAAAGCAATTTTTATTTTGACGTCTAGATATTAATTTCCTAAGGAAAACCACCTCAAATGATTTTTTTTATTCCTAGAATTAGTATTCTAAAGAAAACATCTAACAGAAATATAAAAACGCAAAATTTCTTTTTTTTGGATTTTTGATTTATTACACACTTTTTCAAATACAAAACAGAAAGTACAATAATAAAAAAATCGACATTACTGTACAAAACTAGAAGGTAAAAGACGACATAAAAAGAAAAACAGACTCAAAACATAAAAAAATAAAAATAAAAATTTCCTTAAGCAACTCCCGGGTGCAACGGTCCTGACCAGATGGTCCTGGGGGTCTGTCTTGCTCAAACTCCGGTAAGTAAGTCCACACCTGTATGAGAAAATTAAGACCAAATAAAGTTAAAGACCTAGAACGCTATATGAGACAATAACTCTTCCTGTTGGACGCATGCAAGACATGATTGTGACTACTTTTCTAAAATTAACCTATGTGGCTAAAAGTGACTAAAAATGCAAGATTTAGCTAAGACCCCGCGAAGCCAAAAACACTCACTAGGAAGACAAGACCATATGTGGGTTGTCTACATATTACGCCCCGAAAGACGAGAATCAGGTATGCGTAGTTTGGGCAGATTGGATACGGGTGAGAATAAATAAATAAACTAATTTAGAGAAAAAATTTTTTTTGAAAAATGATGAAACTGTAAACTCTTTTTGGATTTTCTTTTCCTCTTTTTTTTTGATTTTTTGATTTTCGAAAAATGATGAAAAAGTGCAAAATCTTTTTTGAATTTGTCATATTTGTTTTTTGTATTTTTCTTAACAAAAATGTGAAAGAAAACATAACTGGGCCCTACTTGCTTTATTTTCACACTTCACCTTTTTTTTTCTCATTTACCCTTAGTCATCATTGGTCCGTCAAATGATCCTTTTACCCTTGAAGAAATGTAACATGTAGCACATAGGATGCATCATGATGGTCTTTTATTTTTGGGTACACCTATCCTAGACGTACCCAACCCCTGCGTTGAGTCCCCTAAGTCAAATCCACGTGATGCAAGCAAATGTTCCTACTAGTGATCCGACATGAGGTTATGTTGTTCTAAGTTTAAAGCCTGGGGTTGTGTTCTTGACCTGGCTTACCCGAGCGGACAACTCGAACCGAAGATGGGGCAACGTACTGGGAGCACTGAAGTCTACCCGGCCTTGTTACTGGCCCAACCCTGTTCTTATTCGGTATAACTTCTACAGAAAAAGAAGGCCACACGAACGTGTGCACCATTTTCAGAAGACTCAGAGGGGTGGTGTAAGAAGACAGTTTAATACAATTCAAATAATACAAAGCGGTAAATAAACAACATTTAGCACATTAGGTCCACAAATACGATAATAGAAACAATAAAGAAAGCCAAGTAAAAAATTGTAAAAACAAGCTCGGATTCTTGAACCCTGAACCAGAAGTTTTGGGTTTTTCTCCCCAGTAGAGTCGCCAGAGCTGTCACACCTCCTTTTTACTACCCCGAAAGGGTATATAAGTGAGTTTTTTTCAATTTAAGTGACAATCGAAACGAGATTATTTATTCAAAATTCAGAGTCACCACTTGGGATAATTCAGATTCACCGGTTTAAAATCCCGAATCGAGGAAGTTGACTCTATTTACGGTCGGCGAACAAAGAAATCCAGATAAGAAATTATGTTAACCCGGGAGAAGGTGTTAGGCATTCGCGAGTTCCGTGGTTCTAGCACGGTCGTTTTGATCATACTTGGCTTAATCAAATTGTTTGATCACCGATTTTAGAACCTATGTGCATTTGCCCTTTTAATTAAGAAAAGTTATCTTAAAACAGGTCACGCGTACGTGTACCCATTCCGTTTGGCGTGTCAAAAATCATGTCACGCGAACGTGTCCACAATTAATAACGGCTTATTATTATTAAGAAATTTCGGTCGAAGTTGCGCGCACGCATACTCCGATTTGGTTTTAAAATCATAATTATGTCACGCGAACGTGTACGCAATTACGATAGTATATTAAACGTGCCTAAAGTAAACGACGAATGTCCATGACTTAAATTACTTACTACAATTTAAGATTACATGTGAAGGTCCAAAATTATGGAAATCATTTGTTGGAATAACCACACAGTTCGTTACTCAAGAAAGGTGATTGAAGTTATGGAATTATTTGACTAGTTTAACATTCTGATTTTTCTTTTATATCCAACCCCTAAATCTTTCTGTCCTTTGATAAATCTAACATTATAAATTTAAGATAACAAAAATATGAAACACAAGCAATAATACAAATAAAAACAAGCTTAATGAATCATGTAAAATTTGAAGCACAAATAAACTAATAACCTCGCCACAAATATGTACCCACCAGATTAGCACAAAATTGTGAACATGGCCATAATAAATGAATCAAGCTAGACAAAAGAAAGAGAAAAATATTACTAACAAGGATAACATGAAAATATTCACATGATAATATAACTTGGAAACCACAATTTAAACTGAACAATATTTATTAAGGATAGTGTGGGTTTATTCACGCAAGTACACAAAAAGATGATAAATATTAGAATGGACCTTTGCTCAGCATTCTCCAAATGTAAAAATCCAAATCGAATCGACCACAGCGAGCTATTGACTGAACTTTGAACCGGCGACCTCGACGGATTGAACCTCGCTGCTCGATTGCAACCGGAACTCGAAGGGAAAGGGGTTCGTGCCATGGATTCTCATGGTTGTTTTAGGGCTTGTTTTGAGGTGTTTAAAGAGTTGTCTTGTAGTTTAATGTTGAGACTTGAGTTTTAATGAAAATTGTAGACATGTGATTTTTGACCCTCCCTCCCCAATATTTTTATATTTTAGCATGTAAATATTTAATTTAGGCCTAATATAGATATTTCAACGCATTTTGACTCTTTTACTTTATTTTATTACAAGAAAAAGAAAAATTATAAAAAATATTTTAGTTTATGTATTTTTCATAAATTCTTTTTTAAAAAAATAATACAAAAAATAGTACCTTATTTTTATCTTTATATAATTTTGAAAACACAAAAATAGTTTCATATTTAGTTTAATTAATTAGGATTATCTTTGGCATTTATTTCAAATCATAAAAATATAAAATAATATATTGTATCTGCATTTAGGATTTTATTTTACATTTTTAGATTAATTAAGTAAGTTGTTGTTTGACAAAATAGAAAAACATCATAAAAAATAGTCATGTTGCATTTTACTCTTTAATTTTTGAATTTTGACAATTTTCTTTTAATTTGGTATTTAATTAGTTGGGATAATTATTATTTTGAGTAATTAATCTAATTTTCTAGGTTGAATCTTGGGTCAATTTGACCCATTTGGTTTTTGAAGTAATTAACATGAGGTTTTAAGGGTAGTCTAGGGATTGTTTAAATTGGGGAGTCTTACCTAACTAATTAGAAAGCTTCTAGAGTGGTGAGGTTGGGAGTGCATTACTGAATAGAGCAAAGAAAAGTATTTGAGTGGAGTTAAATAAAAAATTGGGGAAGGGGTATTTGTGAATAGGTAATTCATTTCTGCTACCTATTTAAAGAGACGGAAATACACTAAAATAAGAGGGACCTCTTTAGAAATCTGCCGCAAAGGACAAAATAAGACCCTATTCCCCTGTAACTTCATCTTCTCAACAAAAATACACAGGATACCCACCCCCTGATCGACGGTCTTCATAGAAGAAACAGCAAAAAATTTCATGGCTTCCTCTGAAGTGAAAACCCCTGAACGCTGGCACCCCATACAGCACCCCTAAGCCGTCTTCTTCTTCATCACCTTCGTCAGCCAAAACCGTCCCCCCCGCCCCCAGAGAAACTTCATCTTTTTCATGGATTTCAGTCGCTAAGCACACACACACAGCAGAGAGAACAGATAGAAAATCAAGACGGAGGTAGAGGATTTTTGGCTGGGTTTATTTGTCGCAAAAAATGGAATTTGACTGATATTTGGGTTTGAGTTCATGTTCGATTCAACATTCGTGGTGCCGAGTCGAGTTCCCAGCTGTTGCTCGAGGTTCCATTCTAATTTCTGCTCGTATTTGCCGAACTTCAGCCCTATTTGTTGTGTTTTTTTTTTGGCTCTTTCAATCGTTTCTTGCCCAACCAGGTATTCAACTATGAATTCAAGTTTTACTTGGACATAATACGAAACGTGTCTTTTGTTCCTCTCCATGAAATTTCGATACATTTGTTATCTTTATATGATTGAATCCTTTTCTAAGTAATTTGTAAGTTAGAAGATTCAAACCTGTTTAACTTATATCACTGTCGTCAAATTCTGGTGGGGAATTACAGATGTTTCGAATTTGCGAAGCATGTTTGGTTGTGTTCAATAGAGTGGATGTGATGTGCTGAAGGTGCATATGTGCTGAAAATTTTGAAAAGTTTGAGTTATAGATGAACTTGGACTAGATCATTTGAGTTAATTGATTTTAATGAATTTGATTAGCGTGCTTAGCTTGATTTCTGAAGTATTGAGCTGAAATTTGTTCTCAATTTGTTGTTTCCGGTCTTCGTTTGAGGTTCTTATTCCGGTCGTGTTGTGAAGTCAAGTTTTCGAAAATATAAAGCTCCGCCCTTGATGGTGCGTTGGTTAAGAGCACATGTTTCTATTTTGCTATTACTGTGATACGGTCTCCTACAATTGCTTCCTTTTGAATCTTCTTCCTTTGCAATAGAGATGACTACTGCTAGCATATGTTGATTGATCCTAAATAATTAGCCATATGTATAAATTTCACTTTAATACAATGCCCAATTACCTTTAGATAAAGATTTTACTTTATATATGTTGCAGCTTTTTTTTGTCTGGTGCTACTGCGTAATTGCATTAAAAGGTTTGGCTATTTGTCTCTATATGATCGGCCATAATATCCTTGGCAGCCTCCCGTTTGTTATTGATGCTTTCAAAATTAGATCTATAAATTTCTACATGTGTGAATCGATTCTAAACAAGTTGGATGGTCACTTATGAACATCCGTAATTCGCTTTAGTTGAGTACGAATCTTTTTAAAATAAAGTGAGGCATGCCATTCACATATGAATCCCATAATGTATGGCCCTCACTCAACTAATTTTAATCCTCTAGAAATCGAGGTGTGCCATTATTTGAATTTTCTATGGCCCTCGCAAACTTGAAAGAGCGTAGTTGCTTTAGGCGAGCTATCTTAAAAATTACCTTTTTAAACTCGGGTGTGCATTTCATGTGACCCAAATCTAAATCTTAACAACGTTAAATAAAATGTGTCTCGGATTTCGGGTGCATTTCATGTGGCGTGGTCCAAAGACATGTTTTAGATGACGTTGAAATCTTTCTGAAAATAATTAAAAACGATTTAAAGCTAAAATGCACATAGGTTTAAAAGTATTTTAAAATCAGATAATTTGGCCAATAATAACAGTTGAGCGACCGTGCTAGAACCACAGAACTCGGGAATGCCTAACACCTTCTCCCGGGTTAACAGAATGCCTTACCCGAATTTCTGTGTTCGCGGACTGTAATACAGAGTCAATCTTTCCTCGATTCTAGATTTGAACCGATGACTTGGGACACCATAAATTATCCCAAGTGGCGACTCTGATTTTTTTTTTAATAAAATAATCCCGTTTCGATTGTCACTTTAAGTTGGAAAAAACTCCCTTATATACCCTTCCGGGGGTGTAGTAAAAAAGGAGGTGTGACAGAAATCTAAAGAGAAAATTTCTCTTGAAGAAGAAGGAGGTGCGATTGATTTTCGTTTGATGAAAGACCGTCAGTAAGCCTCTGTTTCTCATCTGTCCTCCTCCCTGATCGTCACTCTCTCTGCCCGTTCTCTATCTACATCTATGTGGAGGGGTGAGTCGTTTGGTGTTCTTGGGTGTGGAGAAGATAAAAGAGGTTAGTTGTGTCTTTAGGCGCTGAGAAGACGAAGCTCGGGGATGGTTTTTGGGTAGAAAATGGAAAGTTGAGGGTGGTTGTTTGTGAGATGGCTGCTTTGTTTTTGTTTAGCCAAAAGCCATGAAAATGGTTGCTTTGTTTTCAGAAGGAGACATATCTGTGGGGGGAGGGTCCTATTCTATGAAAAAACAGCTGATGTATCTTTTTTGTGAAGGTTTTAGGCGTTACTCATTAGGTCTTCAGTCCAAATGACTGATTGTAGAGTGTCTAGGTCTAGGTTTTTGTAGGGTTTTTTTAGGTTAAGGGGTATGGGCCTAGGAATTATGAGCTAGATCCGAAAATTAGGCCTAAAAATGGGTCGTTTGAGCCCAAATTTTAATTTTTTCCCACGAACGAGACTAAAAATATGATCTCATTTATTAATTAATCCTACTTAAGTAAAATAACTATTAAAATAAGACTGACCGTTAAAACAAAATTATTTTTGGTATTTTTCAAGATTAAAAATGACTATAAAACATTAATGAAACTATTTTTTATAATTTTCATTTTCTTGTAATAAAAATAAAGTAAAAGAGTCAAAGTTAGTTGAAATAGCGATATTAGGCCTAAATTAAATATTTACATGCTAAAATATAAAAAATCTTGGGGATGGTCAAAAATCACATGTCTACAATAACTTTGCCGAAAATTCTTCATTTTTCAAACTCCCTCAAACCCTAAGCTCTCTTGGGCGATTTTCTAAAGAAAAGTTCTTCTCCAAATCGATTGTAAGTCATTTCTAACTCATTTTCTTTAATATATAGCATCTTTCCACCTGATTTCAAATCAAAAACAAGGGTTTTCATGGGGGAAATTGGGTGTTTTGCGTAGAACTAGGATTTTTAAATTTTGGGGATTTGGACCTCAATTTGGGGTCCAATTTCAAAACAAATTATATATTTGAGTTCTTGGGTGAATGAGTAATCGGTTTTTGGTTCGAACATCAGGTTTTGACCATGTGGGCTCATGGTCGATTTTTGACTTTTTGGGAAAATCTTTAGAAAACCTATTTCCATGCATTAGAATTGATTTATTTAGCATTTATTGATATCGTTAAGTAAATTATGGCTAGATACAAGCGAATTGGTGGTGGAATCAAGAGGTAAAGCCGTAGTTGAGGCTTGAATTGTGTTCGTGACATTGAGATAAGTGTTTGGTCTAACCTTAGCTTGAGGAAATAAGTATTGTGCTTTATTTGCTATGTGCTAGTGTAGTGTACGATGTATAGGTGTGGTGACGAGTATCTATACGTCATTGTCAAACATGCCCGTGAGTCCTAAATTATAATCGTTGTGATCTTAATAAGTACAACAAATGCCTAAGTTGTTAACTCCCCGTGTTGGGCAAGAATCATGACTGTTCTCGTGGTATTTGCTTATTGTTGAGTATTGGTTCTAGTTGAGGTTTCATTTGTCAAGTTAAATGTTGGTACAAGTTTGGTTATAGCTGATTCTCTTGTCGGGACGTATTTAATTCTTACTTTTGGCTCCCTTGCCGGGATGTGTTTATTCTTATTGTTGGTTCCCTTGCCGGGATAGTGTTGTTTGCTAATTGTTCCCTTGTCAGGATTCTTTTGTAATTGGTGTTGAATTTTATATTGGGATCGGGTTGCACGCTGCAACAACATTATATGGGATCGGGTTTCACGCCTCAACATGGAGTAATAAGGGAGGATAGGAGGGGTCGGGTTGCACGTCGCAACAGTGATATATGATTTGGATCGGGTTGCATGCCGCAACAGATTTATATTATTTGGTTCGGGCTGCGCGCCGCAACAATAAAGAATGAAAGTGGATATTAATTGTTACTATTTCCTTATTCTTACTAATGCTGACTTTAAGATGTTCTTTATGTTTTCTCCTAAGTTACTATTGGTACTGGATATTTCCCCGCAACATGTTTCTCCCTCCCATCTTTAATTGCTAGTTTCTGTTATTATTACTTGTCATTTATGCTTTAAACTGTGCAGGTTTATTTGGTAGTCTTGTCTTAGCCTTGTCACTACTTCGCCAAGGTTAGGCACGACACTTACCAGCACATGGGGTCGGTTGTGCTGATATTACACTCTGCATTGTGTGCAGATCCCGGTGCTAGAGCATTTGGACCGTAGAGAGAGGTTGCTGCCTTTAGTCCATCAGGAGACCCGAGGTAGTCCTGCAGACGTCTGCAGGCCCTAGAATCCCCTTCTATCTTTATATTCTGTTTTCATTTACATCAGAGACAGATTGTATCTTTCTTTCCAGACAACTATTTGTAGTATTCGTAGATGGTTCATGATATTGTAACACCAGTTCTTGGTAGAGATGTACTTTGTATTTTTCGTATTTGTATTTGGCTAAGTTATCAGATTTCTTCTTCCGTATGTCTTTAATTATTATTATTCCACTGTTGATTTCATGTTGTTTAAAATTGTTAAAAAGGTTAAGTAAAAGGGGCTAATGAATCTATAATACTCAGCTTGCCTAGCTTTCACGAGTAGGCGCCATCACGACTCTCAAGGGTGGGAAATCCGGGTCGTGACAAATTGGTATCAATGCTCTAGGTTGCTTAGGTCTCACAATTCATGGACAAGCTTGGTAGAGTCTGAGGGATCGGTACAGAGACGTCTGTGCTTATCCCCCCAGAGGCTGCAAAGTTAGGAACAGTTTCACTTATATTCATCTCTATCGTGCAGTTTGGTATCTCAATGTTAATTGATTTTCTACTCTGTTTTTTCGCAGATGGCAAGAACACGCGCTTCTTCATCTACTAACCAGCATCTCGAGCCCCCAACAGCAGTTCCCACAAGGGTTAGAGGACGAGGACGAGGCTATGCTAGGGGCTGAGGCAGGGGCAATGCTCAGCCTAGAGCAACAGTACTAGTGGCGGAGCCTCAGGTAGAGTTTGAAGATGAGGTTCCGGCCCAGACAATTTCGGTAGGCCCAGCTCAGGTCCTAGAGTGGTTCAATGCTACCTCAGTACTCCAGGATGCTCTGGTTCATCTAGTGGGCCTTATGGAGAGTTTCACCCGGGCAGGCTTACTTCCTGTAACACCACTTATCTCTAAGGCTGGGGAAGGAGCACAGACTCCCGCTACCCACACTCTGAAGCAGATGACTCCCCAGTTTCAGACACCAACAACTCAACCAGTTTGAGCAGTTCAGCCGGGTGTGGTAGCTCAGACCGGTGATGGAGCAGCTATGTCTGCCGATGCTTTGTAGAGGTTAGACAGGTTCACCAAGTTGTTCACTACTACTTATGGTGGTACACCTTTAGAGGATCCCCAGGATTACTTAGACAACTGCCATGAGGTTCTTCAGAACATGGGGATAGTGGAGACCAATAGGGTCAACTTTGTTGCTTTTTGTCTGTCAGGTTTCGCTAAGACTTGGTGGAGGGATTATTGTTTGTCTAGGCCAGCTGGGTCGCCTACCTTGACTTGGGATCAGTTCTCTCAACTATTTATGGAGAATTTTCTTCCTATCACTCAGAGGGAGGACTATCGGAGGCAGTTTGAGCGTCTCCAGCATGGTTCTATGATCATCACTCAGTACGAGACTAGATTCATTGCTTTGGACTGTCATGCTCTTATCATACTTCCTACCGAGAGAGAGGGGGTGAGGAGATTCATTGAGGGACTCGCTCAGCCGATTCGATTGTAGATGGCTAAGGAGACTGGGAGCGAGATTTCTTTCCAGGATGCGGACAATGTGGACATGAGAGTTGAGATGGTTCTATCGCAGGGGAGTGGTCAGGGGTCTAACAAGAGGCCCCATCATTCAGGCAGGTTCAGTGGTGCCTCATTTGGAGGCAGGGATTCTTTTGGTAAGGGCCATCCTCCCAGGCTATTTCATTTAGCACTTCAGACCTCTCATGGTGCTTTAGGTGGCCGTGGTTCTCATATGAAGTATTCTGATCAGCAGTCCTACCGTGCACCATCAGCTCCTATCAGAGCACCTCCTATTCAGAGTTATTCTCATGGTCAGCTGGTCCGCCAGGGCCCATCTCAGTTCCCTCAGCCGCAGCACTCAGGTGGATGCTTTGAGTGCGGTGAGTATGGTCATATCCGGAGGGCTTATCCGAGATTAGTGGGTGTTCGATCACAGCAGCAGGGTTCCCATGCTATGGTTCAGGCACCGGGTGTTCCATCATCCGCTCAGCCAGCTAGGGGTGGGGGTAGAGGTGCTAGAGGTGGAGGTAGAGGTATTAGAGGTGAATGTCAGGTCACTAGAGGTGGAGGCCAGCCAGCAGGAGGCCATCCCAGAGATGTAGTTTAGAGTGGTGGGCCCCATCCCTAATGTTATGCTCTTCCAGCCAGCCCTGAGGTTGAGGTTTCAGATGCGGTTATCACAGGTACTGTTCTGGTTTGTAGTAGAGATGCTTCAGTTCTATTTGATCCAAGATCTACATACTTCTATGTGTCATCTTATTTTGCACTGTATCTGGTCATGCCTATTGATTCCTTGAGTGCTCCTATATATGTGTCTACACTGGTGGGTAATTCTATAATGGTAGATCATGTCCATCGTTCATGCATAGTCGTGATTGCGGGTCTTGAGACTCGAGTAGATTTGTTACTTTTGGACATGGTTGATTTTGATGTCATATTGGGGATGGACTGGCTATCACCTTACCACGCTATCCTGGACTACCATGCCAGGAATGTGACCTTAGCCTTGTCGGGTTTACCTCATTTAGAGTGAAGAGGGACTCCTGGCCATTCTACCCGTAGGGTTATCTCATATATGAAGGCTCGGTATCGGTCGAGAAGGGGTGTTTGGCCTATTTGGCATATGTTCGTAATTTTAGTGTTGAGGTTCCTTCTATGGATTTTGTGCCTGTTGTTCGTGAGTTTCTTGAGGTATTTCCTTCAGACCTGCCGGGTATGCCACCCGATAGGGATATTGACTTCTACATTGATTTGGCTCTGGGCACTCAGCCCATTTCTATTTTGTCGTATTGTATGCCCCCATCTGAGTTGAAAGAATTGAAGGAGCAGTTGCAAGACTTGCTTAATAAAGGCTTTATTAGACCTAGTGTCTCGCCTTGGGGTGCGCCCGTGTTGTTTGTTAAGAAGAAGGATGGATTGATGAGGATGTGTATAGATTATCGGCAGTTGAACAAGGTTACAATCAAGAATAAGTATCCATTGCCGAGGATTGATGATTTTTTTGATCAGCTTCAGGGTGCCAAGGTATTTGCGAAGATTGACTTGAGATCTGGCTACCATCAGTTAAGGATTGGGGCATCCGATGTCCCTAAGATAGCTTTCTGCACTCGGTACGGGCATTATGAGTTCTTGGTGATGTCATTTGGGTTGACAAATCCCAGAAGCTTTTATGGATTTGATGAACAGAGTGTTCAAGCCTTACTTGGATTCGTTCGTGATAGTCTTCATTGATGATATTTTGATCTATTCCCGCAGTCGGGAGGAGCATGAGCAACATCTGAGAGTTGTTCTTCAAACTTTAAGAGATAGTCAGTTGTATGCTAAGTTTTCAAAGTGTGAGTTCTGGTTGAGTTTGGTTGCATTCTTGGGTCACGTTGTATCAGCAGAGGGTATTCAGGTAGATTCGAAGAAGATAGAGGCAGTCAAGAACTGGCCTACACCTGCATCAGCTACAAAGATCTAGAGTTTCTTGGGTTTGGCAAGCTATTACCATCGGTTTGTGGAGGGGTTTTCATATATTGTAGCCCCGATGACCATGTTGACCCAGAAGGGTGCCCAGTTCAGGTGGTCGGACGAGTGTAAGGCGAGCTTTCAGAAGCTCAAGACAGCTTTGACTGTGGCGCCAGTGTTGGTTTTGCCCACAGGTTCAGGGCCATATACAGTTTATTGTGACGCATCTCGTATTGGACTTGGTGCGATGTTGATGTAGGATGGTAAGGTCATTGTTTATGCTTCACGACAGTTGAAGATTCATGAGAAGAATTATCCAGTTCATGATTTGGAGTTAGTAGTCATTGTTCACGCGTTGAAGATTTGGAGGCATTATCTGTATGGCGTATCATGTGAGGTGTTCATGGATCACAAGAGTCTACAGTATTTGTTCAAGTAGAAGGAGCTAAATTTGAGGCAGAGAAGATGGTTGGAGCTATTGATAGACTATGATATCACCATCTTATATCATTCGGGAAAGGCCAATGTGGTGGCCGATGCTTTGAGTAGAAAGTCAGCCAGTATGGGTAGTCTTGCGTATATTCCAGTCGGTGAGAGATCGTTTGCTTTGGGTGTTCAAGCTTTGGCTAATCAGTTTATGAGGTTGGATGTTTCTGAGCCCAGCCATGTGTTGGCTTGCACAGTCACTCGTTCTTCATTATTTGAGCGTATCCGAGATTGGCAGTATGATGATTCTCATTTGCTTGTCCTTGGAGACATAGTGCAGCACAAAAGTGCCAAGCAGGTTACAATTAGAGATGATGGAGTTTTGAGGATGCAGAGTCATATTTGTATGCTTAATGTGGATGGACTTCGAGAGTTGATTTTAGAGAAGGCTCATAGTTTCCGGTACTCTATTCATTTAGGTGCCGCTAAGATGTATCAGGATTTGCGGCAGCATTCTTGGTGGAGGAGGATGAAGAAGGATATTGTTGCATATGTGGATCGGTGTTTGAATTGTCAGCAGGTAAAGTACGAGCATCAGAGACCTGGTGGTTCATTCCAGAAGATTGAGATTCTTGAGTGGAAGTGGGAGCGTATCATTATGGAATTTGTTGTTGGACTCCCACAGACTCAGAGGAAGTTCGATGCAGTGTGGGTTATTGTTGATAGGCTAACCAAGTCAGCACATTTCATTCCTGTGGTAGTTTCCTATTCTTCTGAGAGGTTAGTCGAGATCTATATCCGGGAGATTGTTTGTCTTCAGGGTGTGCCCGTGTCTTTCATTTCGGATCGAGGTACACAGTTTACTTCACATTTCTGGAGGGCAGTTCAGCGTGAGTTGGGCATACAGGGTCGAGTTGAGCACAACATTTAATCCTTAGATGGACGGGCAATCCAAGCGTACTATTCATATTTTAGAGGATATGCTCCGAGTTTGTGTTATTGACTTTGAAGGCTCGTGGGATTAGTTCTTGCCTTTAGCTGAGTTTGCCTACAACAACAACTACCAGTCGAGCATCCTGATGGCTCCTTATAAGGCTTTATATGGTAGGCGGTGTCGGTCGCCGGTTGGATGGTTTGAGCCGGGAGAGGCTCGATTGTTGGGTACGGATCTAGTACAGGATGCCTTGGACAAGGTTAAGATTATTCAGGATAGGCTTCGTACAACTCAGTCCAGGCAAAAGAGTTATGCCGACCGTAAGGTTCGTGATGTAGCATTCTTGGTCGGCAAGTGAGTGTTGCTTTGGGTATCGCCTATGAAGGGCGTGATGAGATTCGGG